TGAAGAGCTGAGGGACAGCGCCCAGGCCTAGAGTTCAAGCCCCACGACCGACAAAAAATAAATAAATAAAATAAAATGACATCTTGTGTTTATTTGTTTTCCAGTCTTTACAAGTATTTGCTTGCAACCAGTGTTATCTTCATTTTACAGTTAGGGAAACAGAAGCCCTAAGAAGCCAGAGTCATAGGACCCACATTTCTTTGACAGTCCAGTGCTTTGATCAAAGGCTAGAATTGTAGAAGTACATGTCCTCATTAAAATGGAAAGATATATATTCAGTTGGAAGAGAATCATGAACTGTTGTTTATTCTTTGTAACAGGGTACTTCTGGACCTCTTGACATGTCTCTAGCATCCACACCAGAAATCAAAATTAAAGAAGAAGAGCCAGTAGAAGTAGACTCATCCCCCCCTGACAGTCCTGCCTCAAGCCCCCGTTCCCCTCCACTGAAGGAGAAGGTAAAACTCACTACCAGGAGTCATCCCAAATGTTAATTGATAAATGTTTTGACTTGCAAATAGCATAAAAGTAGAATTTATTATATTTAAATGAATAATTATTTTCCCTTGCTTCTTTTTCTAATGGTGGTAACTCAGGGCTCTATCTGTGACTCTTATCTCCAGTTAACCAACAGAAAACCAGAAATGGTGCTGTGGTGCAAATGGTAGAGTGCTTGCCTTGAGCTGAAGAGCTCAGGAACAGTGCCCAGGCCCAGAGTTCAAGCCCCATGACCAAAGTGGGAAAGAAAAGAAGAATGAACTAGCAATGCACTAGTAGCTTATGCCTATAATCCTTGCTACTCAGGAGGCTAAGATCTAAAATTATGGTTCGAAGCCAGCCAGGGTAGAAAAGTCCATAAGGCCCTTACTTCTAACAAACTATTCAGTAAACGCTGGAAGTAGCGTAGCGCTGTGACTCAGGTATATTAGCCTTGATCAAAAGAAGCTCAGGGATAGTGCCCAGGCCCTCTGTTGAAGCCCCAGGACCAGTCCCTTCCTACCCCCCCAAAAAAGGATGAACTAGGCTGGGCTGGATATATAGCTCAGTGGTAGAGTGCTTGCCCAGTATGTGCAAGACCTTGGGTTTGATCCCCAGCATTGGGAGGAAAAAAAATGAATTCATGGTGGGTATATCTCACAAACATTGAACAACAAAGAGGTCCAAGGAAAGGCAAAATTATTTGAAAGCAGAATTCACAATAGGGTGTACTAATTATAACATAGTACCTTTGGTTACTCAACAGACTGAGGTGGTAGGAGGAACACTTGAGCCCAGTTTATGAAACTGCCCTGGACACTGCAGCAAGACACTATCTCAGGAAAAAATAAGAGGGGGGAGGGAGAGAATAATATGTATTGGGGCTAGGAAAGTGGCTCAGTGGTAGAGTGCTTGCCTTGCATGCATGAGGCCCTGGGTTCCGTTCCTCAGCACCACATAAGCAGAAAAAGCCAGAAGTGGCACTATGGCTCAAGTGGTAGAGCTCTAGCCTTGAGCTGAAGAGCTGAGGGACAGTGCCCAGGCCCAGAGTTCAGGCCCCACAAAAAAAAAAAAAGAAGAAGAAGAATGTGTGTGCCATTCATGACAGAATGTTGGTTGGGAAGGGAAACAGGAAAATCTGGAATGCTAGAAATGGTCTCCATCCAGATTTTATATGTATACAAAGTCATTTCATTGTGATGACTTTTGATTAATTCATTTTACAGTTTGTATGCTCTTCAGTTAATGAGAAACAAAAGTTCAAATTAATAAATTAGACATTAAATTTAAGAAAAAAATACTTCCAAGGAGAAGTAACTCAGGGCTAGGAATGTGGCTTAGTGGTAGAGTGCTTGCTTAGCATGCATGAAGTCCTGGGTTCAATTCCTCAGTACCACATAAACAGAAAAAGCTGGAAGTAGAGCTGTGGCTCAAGTGGTAGAATGCTATCCTTGAGCAAAAGAAGCTCAGGGAGGGCTGGGAAGGTGGCTCAGTGGTAGAGCGCTTGCCTTGCATGCTTGAGGCCCTGGGTTCGATTTCTCAGCACCACATAAGCAAAAAGAAAAAAGCTGGAAGTGGTGCTGTGGCTCAAGTGGTAGAGCGCTAACCTTGAGCTGAAGAGCTGAGGGCCAGCACCCAGGCCCAGAGTTCAGGCCCCACGACCGGGCCCCCCCCCAAAAAAAAAAGCTCAGGGACAGTGCCCAGGTCCTGAGTTCAAGACTGGCAAAAAGAGAGAGAGAGAGACTAGTAACAAAGTGATTATCTACCAAAGTACCTACTAGGATTCTATTATTGCTTTTAAACACTTTTTTTTTTTTTTTGGGTCCGGTCGTGGGGCCTGAACTCCGGGCCTGGGCACTGTCCCTCAGCTCTTCATCTCAAGGCTAGCTCTACCAGTTGAGCCACAGCATCACTTCTGGCTTTTTTCTTTTTGCTTATGTGGTGCTGAGGAATCGAACTGAGGGCCTCAGGCATGCAAGGCTAGCGTTCTACCACTGAGCCACCTTCCCAGCCCTAAACACTTTTTTTGAGCTATTATTTTTATAATTTTATTGAAGCATAGTATACACAGAGGAAAGTACATTTGTTTAGAATGAGAGTATCTAGATTGTGAAAAATTATAACAGCCCCAAGATTCCAACTGTTACCACATTTGTGTAGATATCATTCTTGAAAAAGAATTGGCTAAAAGATTTTTTTTTTTTAGCAGTACTAAGGTTTGAACTCAAGACATCATGCTACACAGGGCAGGTGCTCTACCACTTAAGGCATGCCCCCTGCCCTTTTTTTTGTAATTATTTTTTATTCAAGGTCTCACATTTTTGACCAGAGCCAGCCCCGAACTATAGTCTTCCAGTCTATGCTTCTCAAGTGACTGGGATTACAGGAGTGTACCCTATACCTGCATTATTTTGTAGAGGTTAGATCTTGCTAAGTGGTTTAGGGCTGGCCTAGAACCATGGTTCTGTCAATCTCTACCTTCAGAGTAGCTGGGATTACAAGGATGTAAGGAAGCTAAGAGATCTTAAATCAGTATTCCTCTTGAATGCTCTTGAATGGATGGGTAAGGTACAGGTTCGTGATCACGATGGCCTCAGAACATGATTTACATACGTAATTGTGAATTCATACTTGATTTTACCCATAAACAGCCCTATAAAGCATTTCGTGATGTGTTGGTCTCTTTTCCCCAGGAAGTTGCCCCAAAGCCTGTTGTGATCTCTACCCCCACACCCACCATTGTGCGTCCTGGCTCCCTGCCTCTCCACTTAAGCTATGATCCACTTCATCCAACCCTTCCCTCCCCAACCTCCGTCATCACACAGGCTCCACCATCCAACAGGCAAATGGGGTAAGTAAAAGCACAGGAAGATACAATGAGAAAATAAGAACTGTATTACTGATGTTGTTTTTGCTGTTGTTGTGTTGGTTTTTGACAAGATCCAGGCTGGTCTTGAACTCTGCCCTCCCACCCTTGCCCTTAACCTGCTGAGTGCTAGGATTACAGGTGTGAACTTCCATGCCTGGCTTCAGGAACTGTTTTTACATACCTAAGAAAAATGAGCTACTAAGATTGTTTCTCAGAATTTTCTAACTGGGCATGGTGGCACATAGTAATCCAAGTACTGAGGTTGAGGCCAAAGGATTATTTTTTTTTTTTTTTTGGGTCCGGTCGTGGAGCCTGAACTCTGGGCCTGGGCGCTGTCCCTCAGCTCTTCAGCTCAAGGCTAGCGCTCTACCACTTGAGCCACAGCGCCACTTCCGGCTTTTTTCGTTTTGCTTATGTGGTGCTGAGGAATCGAACCCAGGGCCTCAGGCATGCAAGGCAAGCGCTCTACCACTGAGCCACCTTCCCAGCCCCAGGCCAAAGGATTATTGAGTTCAAGATCAGCCTGAGCTATATAACAAAACCCAGTTTAAAAAAAAAAATTCCCCTTAAGCAGAATCTCCTTTACCCTTTTTAGTAGAGAAACATTTTGAAGGGAAAAATATGACCATAATTGGGGGGTGGGGATTTAATACTTCTTAAATTTTTTTTTTGTGGGGGGAGTATCCTGAGGCTTGAACTCAGGCATGGGCACAGTCCCTGAGCTTTTAAGCCCCCAGTTAGGGATCTTGGTCTTTACTCTTCCTAATTTCATTTGTCTGTTTGTCTTTGCTCTTGGGAAGGCCCACGTTTTCTGACAGGATGATTTGAAATCCTATCATCAAGACCCCATGGATTAAGAGGTTATCATCAAGTTTTAGCTTCTCAAAGTTTATTCTCTGGATTCACATGACAAAAAAATAAAAAGGGGCAGCCCTTTTTTTCTGGGAAAGAAATCAAAACACAGAAACGAGAGAAATTTATTCACATTTGACTACTGTATATATAATTCATCTTTGCAATATGCCAACTTTAATCCCTAGCCTTTGGTCTAAGCTTACTCACTTGGGTGGTGGAAATATTAAATTGATCTAAACCCTTAATAGGATTAGCTTCCTATTAGTTGAGTTTGTTTAATTTACAAAATATAAAGATTTTGCCAAGCTGGGAATGGGGGGGAGAGAAAGAGAGAAAGGGGAATTTGAGGAGGGGATAAGGTACAGATACAAAAGAAAGATAACATCAGATGTTATCAGAATGACTTCACCATTTCTCTTCATCTTCTTTTCCCCATCTTCAAGAGTGTGTCAAGATTTCATAGTAATGTTCTTATACCTTCCCTTACTACAGAAAACTGCAAAATCTGCTCTGATTGTAGGAGGAAGACACATAGGCAAAAGATCTTTTCACTTCATGTCTCTTTGTAGGTCTCCCACTGGCTCCCTCCCTCTCGTCATGCATCTTGCCAATGGACAGACTATGCCTGTGTTGCCAGGGCCTCCAATACAGATGCCTTCTGTTATATCGGTAAGCCCTGTAGTTGGGGCAACCAACCTTACCAACACACTAATAATCTCCCTTCCACCTGAATGGTCATAATCACAGAGAGACCCCAGGGAAACGTGGGCTCTGGTCTGTATTAGTTGAGCCTGGCAGCCTGCCCAAACTCTTCACTAACCTCTGCCAATCAAGCACTGTGGAATACTAAACAAAGACTCATCTGGACAATTGGCTCCTAGTCTAGGAATTGATCTTGCCAGCCTACTGATTGGTTGATTTTACTTGGCACATGGCTTCTCTAAAATTGCTATTCCCTTAAGGTACAGACAGCCTCAGCCTTGCCTGTAGAAACTGTCCCAGTCCTGAAGGATTCGATTACCCCATCCTGTGATGCCTTGGGAAGGTGTTTGCCAAGCTGTCCCTGTGTACCTTGTGGGAAGGCTGCACAGAACAAGCCCTGACCTGCCAGTCTCAGAAGCATTCAATTTGGGGAAAACCAATACTATTATGTCTCCTTCTGGTTTTTGGTCTTTCTCTCTTTTATCAGCTGGCCAGACCTGTGTCCATGGTGCCCAACATTCCTGGAATCCCTGGCCCACCAGTTAACAGCAGTGGCTCCATTTCTCCCTCTGGTCATCCTATACCGTCAGAAGCCAAGATGGTAAGTACACAGTAGCCTGGGATCATATTGGCCCTTCTAAAAGAAGGGGATATTGGCCTAAGTTTTTCAAGTGAGCTGAGCAAAAGAACCTTCTAGGGCTTGTACAGCTAGGACTTTGCTGAGGGATTTGGAAAAGACCCTGATTCATGACACTCATCTCTTCTCCCCACCATTAGAGCCTGGTGCATAGACCATGGCAGGGGAAAGAAGCAGCACAGATTGTTTGGAATGGAACACTTGCCGTTTTAGTTCCAGGATGACAGATGGAGGGTGGGTGAGTGGACAGGAGAGCTGGCCAAGAGGTGAATAGCTGCATAACCAGCCTCTGGCCAAGGTCCAGGAGAGAGCTTTCATCTGGACTCCATTGCTTCAACAATCCCCAGTCCCCAACTGTGCCCAGGACCATAGCCAGGGAACAGAGTAGGCTTTTTAGAGATCCAGGTGCACATTTTCTCTCCCTGTCATTTTCTTTTAATTTCCCTCTTAAGAGAAAATTGAAGTGGAAATTTAACTGTCTGTAAGGTCAGTGCAATCTAAGCCCTTCCTCCTCATCCTTGCTAGAATCTCACCCTTGACAGGCTTTTTTGTTCTTTATCTCTCCCCCACAGAGACTAAAAGCCAGCCTAACCCACCAAGTCTCCTCAATCAATGGTGGTTGTGGAATGGTGGTGGGTACTGCCAGTACCATGGTGACAGCTCGCCCAGAGCAGAGCCAGATCCTCATCCAGCACCCTGATGCCCCATCTCCTGCCCAGCCGCAGGTTAGTCTGGCACTTCGATAGGAGGAACAAGCTGTGTTACCCTTACCATTTGTCATAGCTGTTTTGTAAGGAGTAGAAAATTAGAGAAGAATAGATTTCAACTCTCTAGCTTCCATCCTGTGGCTTAGCTCTTATTGACAGTTTGACTACAACAAAAACATGCCATGTTTAACTACCCTTGTGGTAGATGTACATACAAACAAACTAAATAATGCAGAGCTGTTGCAGAGTTGTTTTTATTCTTTTCTCCATGTGAATATAGCTTAGTATATCTGCAGAAACCTCTGGACTATGAAAGAACCTCCTTTCAAACCACATTATATGCTAATCATAGGAGACGCCCTAGATTCATATCTATTAATACTAACAACAACAAAAGAAAACCCTAATTAGGTTTTCTTTTTTAAAAAATACATATCTAAGGTACCGTGGTTCATACCTGTAATCTCAGGCATAGGCTATGTTAAGCAGGAGGTCAGAGGCTAACCCCAGGCAATATGGGAGGTCTTATTCAAAACATAATTAAAACCAAAAAGGGTTAGGACTGGTTCAAGTGATAGAGCACTGCTTAATAAGCAGGAAGTCCTGCATTTAAACCCTGATACTTCCAAAACACACTCTAATACATACAAAAAAGATGGCTCACTAAAAAAGAAGAATAAAATAAGAAAATACATTGGATTTGGTGGCACAAACCTAGAATCAAAAAACTTGAGAGGAGTCAGGAGGATCATGAGTTCAAGGCCAGGCTGTGCTAAATGGTGAGTTCCAAGCTAGCCCCTGACTAGGGGAGGGGGACGATATACATGAATATGAAAATAAGAAAATACAAAAAATGCCTCTTGTTACAAATTCAGTCCTTTTTTTTTCTTAATCACAAAGAAACGAAAATCCAAAAAGAAACAAGAAAAAAAAAAGTCATAGGAGTTCCATTTAGTTGTCTGATTGTCTTCTCAAGATCTCAGCTTTAGTAAGATTCTTTGGAAATTGGATAGTCTTCAGTTTTCACACCAGTGTGCACTGGACAGGTGACAACAACCTGAGATTGGTTTCTAGAGTGACATCCTTTGCCCAGTCCCTCTTCCTGATGTCACCACCTGCTTCATCGGTTACCGCCACATGTCCAAACATTTCATAGCCATATGCTGCCTTAAAGCTTGGCCAGTAACAAGGTTTCATTTCATTTTGTTGGAAGTGAAGCCTGTTCACCCTCCAGAACCCCCTCACCCCCTAAAGCCAGCCAGTCCTGGAAATGGTAAAGCAGTAATCCTTTGCCCAAGCTGGACTGCTTTCCTTCCCAGTGACCACTCTTCCCTTTCTCTTGGCCTGTTCTTTCACTTCTGTTCCCTGCATGAGTTATTGAGTTACCTAGGACAGAATAGCAACCTTTCCCCTTCTAAGTGCTCATTTTCACATGTGCTCCAATGAACTCAGGACAAAGAGAAAGTTGAAATACTCAGAAGAATGTTGATAATGTTGTTATGTTTGTGTGTGCTGGACTTAGGACTTGAAATCAGGACCTGTATGCTATTCCTGAGCTTTTTTGCTCAAGTCTACCACTCTACCACTTGAACCACCTACATTTATGGCTTTTGGTTTTTGGGGGCTTGGGGTTTTTGGGGGGATTGGGGGCCTTCTGGGGGAGGCAGTTGTGGGGCTTGAACTCTGGGCCTGGGCACTGTCCCTCAGCCCTACAGTTCAAGACTAGTGCTCCACCACTGGAGCCACAACGCCCTTCTGGTTTTCTGGTGGTTAATTGTAGAGAGAAGAGTCTCAAGGACTTCCCTGCCCTGACTGGCTTTGAACCGTGAACCCCAGGTCTCAGCCTCCTGAGTAGCCAGGATTACAGGTGTGAGCCACAGGGCACCCAGCTGTTTGTTGATGTTGTTGTTAGTTTAATAGAGATAAAGAGTCTCACAGGCTCATGCCTGTGATCCTAGCTACTTAGGAGGCTGAGATCTGAGGTTCACAGAAGGCAGCCTGGACAGAAAAGTCCGGGTGAGACTATTAATCTCCAATTAACTACTCAAAAACTGGAAGTGGAGTTGTGGCTCAAAGCAGTAGAGTAAGCCTTGAGGAAAAGAGCTAAGGGACAGTTCAAGCCTCATGACTGACAAAAAAAAAGCCAGACATGGTAGGATACACCTGTCCCAGTATTCAAAAGGTAAAAGCAGGAAGTTTGAGGCCACCCTGGGCTATATAGTAAGAACCTATCTCAAAAGAAAAAGCAGGGGCATCAGTGGTTCATGCCTGTAATCTAGCTACTCAGAAGGCTGAGATCTGAGGTTCATGGTTCAAAGTCAGTCCTGGCAGGAAAGTTTGTGAGACTCTTTATGTCCATATAACCACAGAAAACCGGAAGTGGCACTGCAGCTTAAGTGGTAGAGCACTCACCTAGAGCTGTAGAGCCTGAGGGTCAACGCCCAGGCCCAGAGTTCAAGTCCTACAACTGACAAAAAAGAAAAGAAAAAAATAAAGGAAGACAGGGGCTGGAAGTGACTCAAGTGGTAGGCCTTGCTTAATGCCCTACCTAGTTCAGTACCCAGTACCACCAAAAAAAGCCATTCCTCTATCTAGCTTGTAAGGGAATTAAATATTTTTTCCTCTACTGACAAATAAGGAGGGGTGCTGCTGCTGATAACTAATTGCTGATTATAAATAATATGTACTGGGTTGGGAGTATAGTGGTAGGACCACTTGCCTATCCTGTGCAAGGCCCCGGGTTTGATCCCAGGATGTGGTATGTACTAATATGTATATACTAATAGGAATATATTAATCTAACCTCTCCGTATAACCTATATCTCTCTGGTAGTGAGTTGAATGGAAATCGTTCTTTTTTTCATCTTAATAGAGCATGTAATTGTATACACTACTTATCAAAATCAGTGATTCTCAGGCTGGGAAAGTGGCTCAGTGGTAGAGTGCTTGCCTTGAATGCATGAGGCCCTGGGTTCCATTCCTCAGTACCACATAAGCAGAAAAAGCCAGAAGTGGCACTATGCCTCAAGTGGTAGAGTGCTAGCCTTGAGCTGAAGAGCTGAGGGACAGCGCCCAGGCCCAGAGTTCAGGCCCCATGACCAACAAAAAAATAAATAAAAGACAAGTGATTCTCAAACTTTACATTCTCCCTAAAAGTTCCTCTATTGCCCTCCCTCAATTCTGATTTTGCTGCCTCTGAGATTCCCTACTGCTTCAAAACAAAATAACAAAACATAGTTCATATTTTATTCCCTATGTGGCTGAGTGATAATTAGTTTTCAATTCTGTCTTATATAAATGTGGTACTAAGAAGACTGGAAGGAAATGAGATTCAGAATGAGGAACCACTTACTACAAAAGACAGAAGCTAAGGCAGGCACTGGTGGCTCACACTTGTAATCCTAGATAGTCAGGAGGCTGAGAACCAAGTTTCACAGCAGGCCGGGGCAGGAAAGTCTGAGACACTTACCTCCAGCTAATCACCAAAAAGCTGGAAGTGCCACAAGTTATAGTACAAAGTGATAGAGCACCAGTGTAAGCAAAAAGGCCCAATGACAGCAAGAGACCCTAAATTCAAGTTTCTGTACCAGGAGAGACAGAGAGAGCAGGAATAAGCATATGCTGAAGGATATAATAGATGGTAGTGAAGCCTGATGTTACCCAAACTGCTACATCCTTTTACCAGATCTCTACCAGACAACATTAAGTTTGATTTGGAAAATATTAATGTTCTATCAAGTACTCTTCATTCTCTGTACCACCAACTCCTGTAATTCCTGCACTGAGGAAGCTGAGGCAGAAGATCATGAGTTCAAAGCCAACCTGGATTATACATATTAAGACCCTGTCTTAAAATAAAAAGTTACTCCTCTTCCTTCCTGGGTAACAGGTATCTCCAGCCCAGCCTACCCCTAGTACTGGGGGACGACGGCGACGCACAGTGGATGAAGATCCAGATGAACGGCGGCAGCGCTTTCTGGAGCGCAACCGGGCTGCAGCCTCCCGCTGCCGTCAAAAGCGGAAGCTGTGGGTGTCCTCCCTGGAGAAGAAAGCAGAGGAACTCACTTCTCAGAACATTCAGCTGAGTGTGAGTGGGCCCTGGATGATTTGGGGGATTGTAGAGTCTATCTATAAAGTAGGGTTGAATCAAGGGGGCGGGGGGGAGAGGAAGGTAAGACAATGTAATAGAAAATGATAGTTATTGAGTTAGGGTATATCCAGAAGTTGTGACAGATAGAATACAGAATCTACTAACAGAGTTGAGACATCTTCTCTAGTGTCCCTGAAAAAGATACTGTCTACCTAGAATGAGTCATTCATAGGCCCATTTGGGGGCTGGGGAATATAGCTCCATGACAGAGTAGGTGCAAGTGCCAGGCCCCATCTCCAATACCACGCACACACACACACACATATAGCAAAACATAGACCTACAAGGATGAAATACATGAGACTAAACACCCTGGAGTATTCTTTTAAATCATTAGTAGAATCTAACTGAAGTCATAATACATACAGCGAGAAATCTGTTTAATATAGTTACTATCTTCATAAAAGAAAAAATCTGAGCCGGGCACTGGTGGCTCATGCCTATAAGATCTGAGGATCGCAGTTCAAAGCTAGCCCGGGCAGGAAAGCCCTTGAGACTCTTATCTCCAACAAACCACTAGAAAACCAGAAGTGGCGCTGTGGCTCAAGTGGTAGAGCACTCGCCTTGAGCTGAGGAACACAGGGACAGCGCCCAAGCCCAGAGTTCAAGCCCCATGACCAACCAAAAAAAAGAAAGAAAAAAAAAATCTGGGCATGGTAATACACATCTATAATCCCAATACCCAGCAGGAGGCTAAGACAAGAGAATCATAAGTTCTGGGCTACACAGTGAGACCTTGTTGAGAAGAAGGGAGGGAAAAAGGAAAGGAAAGAAGGGAGGAAGAGAAGAGAAATAAGGAGAGAAAGATAAAGGAAAGACAGAGGAAGGGAGGAAAGAGAAGTGGGAAGGAAGGAGAGAAGGACCACTACAATGGGGCTGGGAAGGTGGCTCAGTGATAGAGCGCTTGCCTCGCATGCATGAGGCCCTGGGTTTGATTCCTCAGCACTGTATAAGAAGAAAAAAGCCGGAAATGGCACTGTGGCTCAAGTGGTAGAATGCTAGCCTTGAGCAGAAGAGCTGAGGGACAGCGCCCAGGCCCAGAGTTCAGCCCCCACGACTGACAAATATAATAATGATAATAATAATATATGGCTAGGCATAATGGTGCGCTATAATTACAACTACTTGTGAGGAAGAGATGAAGATGATTGCAGGGGTTTTTTTTTGTCATGGAGCTTGAATTCTGGGCCTGGGTGCTGTCCCTCAGCTCTTCAGCTCAAGGTGAATGTGCTCTACCACTTGAGCCACAATGCTACTTCCAGTTTTCTGGTGGATAACTGGAGATAAGAGTCTCACGGACTGTCCTGCCCAGGCTGGCTTTGAACTGCGGTTCTCAGATCTCAGCCTCCTTAGTAGTAGAATTATTGCCGTGAGCCACCATTGCCCAGTGATGATTGCAATATTGTGTCTAGCCAAGCAAAAAATTGGCAAGACCCCTACTCTGTTACCTAGTAGTTGGATGATTGCAGGTGCCTGTCATCACACCTTTCCTGGAAGTGTAAAAAGAGATGGTGGTGGTGCGATCCTAACTACTCAGAAGACTGAGGTCTAAGGATCGTGGTTGGAAAACAGCTCCCACAGGAAAGTCCATGAGACTCTGATTTCCAATAAACTACCCTCAAAAAAGCTGGCAAGTGGAGATGTGCTTCAAGTGGTAGAGCACTAGCCTTGAGTAAAGGAAGCTCAGCGATAGACCCTGAGTTCAAGCCCCAGGACAGGCACACACATACAAAAAAAGAGTCCCATATAAAGTGTCCTTCATCAGTTTAACTGAGTTTCTCTTTGACCACCGCCTCTCCCACCTTCATGTTGTGCTGTCCATAACATAAAGAAAAATTGTCATTGGAATTATTAGCTATAAAATTTGCATTTGGTACAGTGCAGTTGTGGAGTATGTGGGTCTTGAGTCTGACATATTTGTTTAGCAATTTAGCCCCATCCCTATAGTTGAAAAAAACTTTTAATTGAAGATTAATGTATTATATAGATATTACAAATTATTTATGTTCTGCAGATGAAGACTACTTGTATTGGTTGCAACAACTGACTGTTATCAATAAAGTTGTTTAAAATTTTTTTTAAAAGATGGTGGTGGGCTGGGAAGGTGGCTTAGAGGTAGAGTACTTGCCTGGCATGCATGAGACCCTAGGTTCGATTCCTCAGCACCACATAAGCAGAAGAAAAAAAAAGTCAGAAATGGTGCTGTGGTTCTAGTGGTAACACTAGCCTTGAGCTGAAGGACAGCGCCCAAGCCCAGAGTTCAGGCCCCACAACCGACTAAGAAAAAAAAAAGATGGTGGTTCATGCTGTCTAGAGCAAAAATGCAAAACCCTTCCTGAAGCTGGGCGCTGGTGGTTCACACCTGTAATCCTAGCTACTTAGGAGGCTGAGATCTGAGGATCATAGTTGAAAGCCTGTCCAGGCAGGAAAGTTTGTGAGACTCTTATCTCCATTTAACCACCAGAAAACCAGAAGTGGCACTGTGGCTCAAGTGATAAGAGTGCTTACCTTGAGCTGAAGAGCTGAGGGATAGTGCCCAGGCCCAGAGTTCAAGCCCCATGACCAACAAAAAAAAAATCCCCTCGTGAAAATCAGGTGCTGGTGGCTTACACCTGTGATCCTAGCTACTCAGGAGACTGAGATCTAAGGATTGCAGTTCAAAGCCTACCCAGGCAGTAAAGTGTGAGACTCTTATCTCCAATAAATTGCCAAAAAAGCTGGAAGCAGAGCTGTGACTCAAATGGTAGAGCACTAGGTTTGAGCAAAAGCATCAAAGAGATGGTGCCCAGGCCCTGAGTTCAAGCCCTAGGACAAGGAAAAACAAAAACCTTTCTGAAAAATGACTCAAGTGGTAAAGGGTCTGCCTAGCAAGTGTGAGGCCCTGTTCAAATCACAGTTCTGAAAAAAAAAATTTAAGGTGTACATAAAAACATTTCTGTTATTTTACATCCAAACACACAAACATATACAGACTAAAAGCAAAGGCCCTTTTAAATTTATTTTCCCAATGCCTTTCTGGGAGCTGTAACTAAATTCCCTCTAACAAAATCTTGTGTATACCTTCCTGTTGTATTCATATGTCTAAATATATTTGCACTTCTACTTTTTTGTGTGAGAGTTGGCAGGAATGTGAGTTGATTCAAACACAAATAAATAATGGTTTAACAGTATCAAGAAACCTCACTACGGGGGCTGGGAAGGTAGCTCAGTGGTAGAGCACTTGCCTTGCATGCTTGAGGCCCTGGGTTCGATTCCTCAGCACCACATAAGAAAAAAGCCGGAAGTGGTACTGTGGCTCAAGTGGTAGAGTGCTAGCCTTGAGCTG